GATAGAGAATTAAATTGTCTACAAAATGGTTTATTTACTTTTGAGTTCTGACTTTTTCAAAAATTTCTGCAAATAAAACAAAATCATAGAAAAACGTCACGGAATTACGTACGCAGGTAGAGTTATCTGGCCAGGCCGTTTAGGCAAATTTGTATGAGCTGAGCTGTTTCACTAGGTAAAAAACTTCAGTCTCAGAGTTCTCCAACTTTCTCACGTATATTCCTCAGTTTTGATGCGACATTTGTTCATATTAAAAAGAATTTCCTTTTGAACTGTCAGGAGCATAACAGTCTATCAAAGATTCATATAGGCAGAGAAAAATCGTAATTTACTGAGTAAAAAAGAGCAGTTATTGGAACTAAAACGGTGTGATACTCTGACACAGACAAAACTCACGTTTACTTTTCTTGTGTGATAGTTGCTTGATAATTGTTATCGCTATCTTCTTCATCTGCAACTAACTGTGTTTCATTTCTTTCATTTTCATTTTCATTATCTGTTTCAATGAAACTTGCTGTAAAAGAGAAAATATTTGATATTTCAAATGTAAAGATCGATTTACATGACTCACATAAATACGGTAACTGATCTTGTTTGTCTAAATGTTTGGCGAGAGACGCTTTTTCATTCGAATGTATATGTAGTCTCGATCTGCGGGAATTATTTTCCAAATTACGCAACAATTGTAAATCAGCATTTGGATCGAAACCATAGTGCTTCTTGTTGCTAGAAAATAAAAACATCGGGACTGTGATGCGCATTTTTACAAAGGGGCTACTCTCTTTCGACAACATTTTCTTTCAGCTTTGAAATTAAAACTCACGAAAATACTTAGTATTGTCAAGCTTGTCAATTGCTTCATCTATAAAAGGAATGAAAACTGTTTTTCATCAACAAGAATATGCAAAACTTACTTTTACCTTTATCGGAATGGATCGTTATCGTTGACAGCGATGTTGATTGTACGTTCATTACTTCACTATTTTTCAAGGCTGTAGGCGAAACTAAAGTAATATTAAAAACAAGTGGCAGTGGCAGAATAACACGAGCGCATTAAAACTAGTTTTGTAGAAATACTGCCTCACTTACCGTTTTTCTTTGACTTCTTTTCGAAATTTTGCTCTTGTTGCGATAAACATGTAGTTGACTAAAATCGTAATCACCATAAGTCTTTGCTGAAAAGAATGTGTAGATGTTATTGAATACAGGGTGTCTTTCGCCGACCCTCACTAAACATACTATCAGCTATTTGACTTTTATCCGTTTGTTTTCTTTTTTTCTATTCACGAGTTGATGTTCGGTTATTTTCTTGTTCAGTGTTGCTGCTTTTTTCGGCGTCCTCCTCCTCAGTTTCACAATCAGTAAGCAGTAATTCTTCACTGTCCGGTTTGTCTTCTTTAAACTTTTCTTGTTCATATTTACACATCCGTTTACTTCCTAAATATAATATAAAAATTGGGACATATTTAAAGTTATCGAGAAAACCAAAGAATAAACTGTTACCTGTGGCTATAATTTTTAATTAATGACGATTACCCGCACTTTTGAATGCGCCACTGTTCGGATTAACAACATCAATTTCAAGCTGATATTTTAGGATAATTGCATCTTTATTTACATTCGAAAACGGTATAAAAGCGTATGCATCAGAAGAATATTTCGTCGAAGGAGTTATTTTTCGTTTACTGCGTTGTTCTATCATATCTAGAAAGTAAAAAAATCGTAGACTATTTATAACGGGAAGTCAGTGTGTCGGTTTATGTTTGATTGATAACTGTTTTTGTGGTCTTAAGAATATACATAGGAGTATATTTTCATTTGTGAAACACTACTTTACAGGTCTTTTCTGGAGAGATGTAACGCATACGCTCTAAACAGCATCTGGACGATAAAACAAATATCAGACAGTAGTTTTCGTAAAAAATTTAATCATAGTCCAAGTCAAATTCGATATCTGTATACATAAAAATGTCTTTTTCTAAAGCAGTGATTTTGATTGTTTTATGCCCGATAAAATGTAGAGGTATAATAACATATAACATATAAAAAAACAGATTTATTAAAAAATTTATAAAAATAATTAATCGGCCTGTCCAGCTAACGGTCACCTTCATTTAAGATGGTTCGAAAATCTTTTTTTAACTTTAAGAATTTGTGAAGCACATCGTCTAACGTAGTTTTTGAAGCTGATTTCGAATATCAACTTAAAATTTCCAAAAAATTAAATTTTGACCTCAAAAAATGAAATCCAAACTTTATTTTTAATTTCCTGACCTAGATATTCTTGCGAAAAAATTAAGAGATATGGCATGATCCAAACTCAATGAAATTTTCGGACGTGATAAAACTCGGTACTGTCTACCTCTGGTAAAAGCGTCATTGCATTTGGATCATTCTCAGAAAAGTTATGGCACGTGAAAGTTGAAAAAAAGTAATTCCGTAACATTTGGACAAGCCGTAATACGTTTCACTAGAGTTCTTCGTAAATGTACATGCAAATACAAGGTTAAACTGCTATCTATACATTCGTATTGTCTTACGAAAGCAAAATTTTTCTCACGAAAAACAAAATAGAAGAGAATCTCACAGAAACAGGTTTTATGAGCACATTTACAATTCGAGTTTTTCACCGAGACATGGTGACCAGGGGCGGCGGAGCCACTAGGCGTGTTAAGGCTTGAGCCTTATCAAATTTTGGCTCCGATAGGCTGAGCCTTACCAAAAATTAGGAAGTAGAAATTGTTTTCCGATGCATTTTTGTATTGGACTTTTTCGTTTTCCAAAGAAAGCAAAAACCGTCAAGCCTGAGCCTTACCAAATTTCAAAACGCTCCGCCGCCCCTGATGGTGACTCATATCGAGTCGAAATAGATTTGGCTGGATTTTTTTTGCAGACAAGTTGAAGAAAAATCTTTTTTGCACGTTACTTATAAGTATATGGACATGACTAATTCGAAAATATTTTTGCTCAGGTCTTTCTCGTTACCGAGATAGAAGGCATTCTCCGTAAAATAACTACCTTTTCTACCGGCTACATATAATCATATCTTTATGAATAAAATAACCATAAGTAGCTCGAGTACAGTATAGAGATATGTTGCTAGGTGCGAGATTACTTTTCATTGGTAGAAATCGTGAAAAAAGCAGAAATCCGACATGGTTAAAAATGGAAACAGTCCAAAATTTGGAAAATTTGCGCGCTCTCTCCACCGATGGAAGACGTTTTTATAAAATTACAACTGCCAGAGAATTTAAGTACAAAGTTACAGCTGCCTAAGTAATCAATTTCACCAAAAAGTCTTGCCTTCGGAGCAATAAATAAGAGTCAGTTTTTAGGAAATAATGTCTCTTATCTCGGTAACGGAAAAGGCCTGCGCAAAGATATTTTCGAATTAGCCATATCCTTATGCTTATAAGTAACTTGGAAAAAAGTTCTCCACGGACATATCGCTTTCCACGACACCACTTCAGTGCATCACTCAAATATGACTCGTGAGCAAAACAGGAAGAAAAATACAGAGCGTTCTGAGCATGAACTTGTTCAGGGAGATGCTGATCATAGTGTAAAGTTCCTAGTTCTGTTCGTTCACCATATAGAGGTGAAACATCTTTATAGTATGTGTCGAAAAAACCTCGATACCATTCGACAACCTTTTGTCAGAAAAAAAATATAAAATTTTTATAAACACAAAATAATTGAGAAAATGACACGCGTATTTATCCGGTAAATAAAAAACAACAAAAGGAACAGCACAGTACAAAAAAAGGCGCGCAACATTTTTACTTTTCAC